TCCTGGAGGTATCTCTGCCAGGAACATGGAAAGCAGTTCAATTTCAAGCATAATGAGATGAATTTGTGAGTCACTTTTATTGAACCTTTTGTGATTTTGCTGTTCTCTCCAACAATTACAAGTCTTGACTAATAAACAGTGTTATTATACATAATAAGGAACATTTCCATGTCTCTGTGTGCAATGTGGCTGGAAAGGGTAGACTTTAGCTTGATTTTTTTAATATTTTCCAATTAGATGACCAGGCATTAGTGTTCAGACCTTCTTTGGTGGAGGTTTCCAATCATGGCTCCTTAGCAACTGAAGTAATGTTAAATTAAATTGATAAATGATGCTCTAAAAAAAAATGAAGAACTCTAGCAGAGAGATTAATTTGTGATGCCCTTTTAGGAAAGATTTACGGGATGCGATGTGCATTTGCTATCTGCCAAGTGCAATTCATCACCTGAGTACACAAGCTTTGCAAAACTGTTTTCTGATGAAGTGTAAAGTTAGATCTAACTCACCCTTCCCAGCTGGTGAGGAAAGATCTACCCCTTTGTTAAAGCTCTTCCTCTCACCCAGGCCCCTGGGAGTCTTGGCCAGCCTGGGAGATGACAAAGCTGTCGCTCAAGGCACAGGCCAGCCATTGGACACTGGGACATCCTCTCCTAATGCTTCCAGTCCTGATGCTATGGAACAACGCTCTCCAGCACTGGTTTCTGCCATGCTGTTCCACTTCTCTTTGTTCACAAGATATTGAACTTATAAACAAAACAAAAACACAACCTCCACATCCCAAACCCTGTTTTATCATTCCTCCTCTGTCCTTTCCTGCTCAGTTTAATTAAAACCACAGTTTGAATCCAGCATGTGAAAGATGTTGACACCAAGCCTATTCATTTTTTGGTGGTGAGAAAGGGCCAGTTCCCTCCACTCAGAGGGCCAGGAATTGTGTCCCTGCCTCCTACAAGCTGGTCCTCCATTTAGGCTTTCGTGTCGGGCAACTCTGAGACAGACCAGTGAGGGGTGGGGGTGGTAGGAACGAGGTTTGGGGTGGACCTTGTGTGTACAGTGCGATAATGCTGTGTCTACCCTTCCAAGCCCACCCTGGGAGGCTGCCTTTATATAGCTGGAGAAGGGGATCAACCCTCAGGCCAGCACAAGGCTGCAGGTGCTTTTTCTGGGATGAGCTCCCCAACCATTTCCATGGCTTTCCTCTGGACTACCCATGTCACTGCCCTGCCATGACTTCTAGCTCCTTCACAGTAAAGTTGCTAGTAAAATGCTACTTGTTTTATACTCTCCAGTTCCCTTCTCTTTTTCACTGATTGTTTTACACTGCAGGCAGTCCTTCTGACATGTGCGCTTAATCAGTGACAGGAAGATGGTTGAATGGGTGAGCACTGAATAAACAGAAAAAAAAACCCAAAATTGGAAATAGGGATTGCCCTGCTGAGCACAGTTCTGGTGTCCTGGCTCCCACTAAGGCCAGAGGAAAGTAAGAGAACAATTATGAGTTATGTTTCTTCTGCACTTCGCTTAGTGTGAATCTAGTTTATGCATCAAAATGGAAAGGCTTTCCAAAAAATACTTAATTGTTCTGCAAATTCTCCTTTTCCATGGTGATGTCCAATTTCTTTCTGAATTGTGCTTGGCTCTTGTCCTCAGTAATTTCCAGCAGCCTTGTATTTCATGGGGCACTTATAAACTGGCTATAAAATCTTTTGATGGGCTTTAAAAGGTTGGATTAAAGGATTTGACACCCGTGAACTACCTGCCAGTTGGCTGCCAGTGCCTTCTAGCTTCATTTTCTTCTGTTGTTATCAAGCAAATTCTTGCCCAGAGAATATTTCCAATTCGCCTTGAGGGTGGCAGTGATTCTCAAAGCATCTTCGGTCTCTTCATCTTTGATAAACACTGAAATGACAATCCCAGGTTGACCTCCATCAAATCAACACATTTACTCCCATGGGATTACACAGTCTTGAGCTATGACCCAATCCTTTCCCATGAAGCCAAAGACATTAGAGATGAAAGCAGCCGCCTCCAGGTTAGTTATTCCACTTCCAGGTGAACTAGTCCATCCTTAGGTTAAGTGGTCCACCTGCTTTCCCAGACAACATAGAGCTGAACTTTATACATGTTCTCCCCTCTCCCTCTTAACAGACTTTATAGCAGGACTTATCCCTGCTTCTTATTCTGCAAGTCTAATCCACAGACTCATGAATAGGTCATTTGCTCCTGAAGTCACCTCTTGCCTCTCATGACAGTTCTCTGTGATCTTTCCCTGCTATGAACAATGACTCACATTTTCCAGTATCTGTACAGAGAAATAGATGCCCATGGAGTCTATGCAGCTCAAACCTTCTTACTGGTTTGAAAACACAGTCTTTCTAGCAATATTTGCCCAACAGACTGAAAAACACCAGACTATGGGTCATCAGAAAGGTACAGGAAGCCCAACTGACCCACTGACTTTAGTGGAGTGATGTGTTTCAGTGCAATGTTCTTACTGTTCTGTTAAATTTTAGAAAAATACATAAAATAGTCCTAGACTTCTTGTGAGCCCCAAGAGAACAGGTGTTTTGTCATGGAGCAGAAAAAGTCTGTGTCTCGCTCTCACTTTTAATGTTAACACCTGTGAATTCTGTTTGTAATGTTTTGGATATACCATTTTGTTTCCCTTGCTCCATGCTGACCTCAAGCTCTTCAGGCAAGCAGCAGCCCTATCACAACTGGGTATGATGCTGGAACTCACCTTCCTTCAAGTAAGATTGTTTCTAAATAACAGAATACTTGGGGTAATTCTAGATTTATTGAATCAAGTCTTTAACTCAAGAGGTTACGTGTGCTGTGTCTTACATAGAAAACAATTTTTCCTGCCAGATGAAATCTTAAGGCAGAGTGTCTCTTACTTTATATAGCTGCTTGGGTATTTCTCTATCTTGGGATTAATGGTGATGGTGTAATTTAGATTCTGTATCAACTTGAGACAGATGGATTTACAGAGTTATCAGTCTAGCCACACACAGGCAGCTTTGCTTTAATTGAGTTTAGTGCTTAGAAAAGGAAGAACTTGATGAAAGAAAGTCCTTTTCCACCTGCCCTGAGAATAAAGGTCCAGCTGAGGCAGTACCAGCACACTTTGTATTTATTACCGGGGTAGGCAGTAGCGGCAGGTGGGATGGCAGAGGAATGATATCTGGGCATGCTGTCACAGCCTGCACAGAGCAGGAGGGAGGTTTGCTGCCTTGTGGTACCCATCCCAGAGCTTGAGCTGTATGACAAAGACATGTGAAGCAGTCCAAGGGAAGCATGTAGCCCACCTAGCAAGTCCATACTGGAAGTGCATTTGCTTGCATCACTAATCTCCTAAAGAAACAAGGCAGCATGATCATATGACTGATGGCCATCTATCTCATTCCTGTGACTCCACAAACTGATGACCATTTTTAGTCTGACTTGAATCATCTCAAATTAACTCAAACATAATAGTGACTTCCTACAAGCTTAGGAAAAATAGCTTAACTGACCAGTAGAAAAGAGAGAAGTGTTAATGCTCCCCTGAGGAGGAGGACATGTCAAATATAGTGATGTTGGGAAAAAACAGGTCTGGGGCTGTCAAGCTGAGACCTCAAGTGGGAAAGGACCATCTTCCTAACCAGGACCAGCTTCTCAGCTTTATCCAGTGCAGCAGAAATTCCAGTATCCCTGCTGCCTCACTCAAAGCCTGGCCACCCTCTCTTTTTTCTCACTGTGTTGGCAGGAGATTTGCGAGTACATCACCATGTGCCATTTCAAGCTTCATTTGAATAAGCGTCCCATATAATAGACTTTTATAGCTCTTTTTCTGTGAATTCTAAATTAACGCAACTAATTAAAATGTTCCAAAGTTTTATGTAAATAACTAATTAGCATTTGAGAAGGAATAGTAAATTCACAGATGGTTGTGCTCCATTCAGGGCCCACTCTGCTCGCTTTGGCTGTAGCCAGTGCAACATCCTCCTTGGCAGGAGTGGACTGTCCAGATTTCATCCCGAGGATGACCCAGCACCAACCACCCTGCCTGCAGGCATCAGGAACTCCGCATCTTGCAGGATTAGGCCCATTCTTTCTGTCCCTGACACCAAGGCTTGCAGGAGTAAGGACAGGGTGGATGAGAACCTCAAGGAAGATGAGATCTGTGCACAGGAGTTGAGGTGGGTGTCTGAGCTGTGACTTTTGGTGTTTGTACTGGTGTTACTCTGTTGCTCCAAGGATGTTTCTCTAGAAAGCCTTCCTCAGGGATACCTTTTAGGCGTGCAAGCTATGATACTTAACACAACACATCTGAATCTCATAACTCATGGGTTCCAGCCCCAGCACTGCCACCAAGACCCTGGAAGACTGTTCTGTCACTCCAACACTGTTCCCAAGCATCACAAGAAGCATCATAAGCTAAATATTTTCTTCTCTCATAAGACTGGGGCTAACTGATGTCTGTACCACATTGGAGAGACTCAGGGAGAGGTGGTGCAGGAGTAATACCTTGCAAAAACAGGGAGGTTTGAAAAATAGATCCATATCTAATGTTGATTACTGTCCAGGTCAAAGTGAGGAGCATGTTACTTCTCTGACATCCAGATTCTCATACATATCAGGAGCTTTAAATTTTTACAGCCCCTAGCATCCAGCACATCTTAGTGCTATTACAGCACCAAAAACCCCTGTAAATGCAAGGAAGGAGTTTACAGAAGTGGTCAGTTGGAGTTTGTTTGCTCTAGAAGAAATTATCATCAGAGCAAATAAAGGGAGAGATCATTTTCCCCTCCTATTGAATGTGTCCTACACAACCACTCTCACCTGTTTTAAGGGCAGCTCTGAATGTTTGCACCTTTTGCTTCCAGAGCTGCAAAGACCTGTGGGAGATGAAGGGATTATAAAAATCTTCTTCAGGGCATAGCAATGCTTTCTTGTGAATTTGAGCTAGATCTTTAGGGAGGGGAGATGAGCTTGGGAAGATTCATGTTGCTAGGACAATGCAGTTTGACCAAAGGGAAATTGAGGAAGTAGAAGCAGGAGTCAGTGGGGAAATCAAAGGGTGAGATTTTAAGGGACATCTTACAAGAAAGAAGTGTGCAGAGCCTGGCTGTTTGAATGTGTTGAATTTAAAAACAGGATTGTGTTCTTCAGATGTATTACCAGAGGAAGAGAGAAAGCTGGGAGACTAAGTGAAACAGTAAAGCTGGTGGTGGATTTGCAAGGTGAGGGGGAGAAAGGGCTATGCTAACCATGCCTCTTGCATGGTCTTATTTGCAATCCCTGTCTGCCCTGGAAGAATCCCCCCATATCTCTCTCCATCTGTTTATACATGAAGCAAACTCCTGCAGAGAAGGGAGGAAGATGCAAGCTCTCCATCTGGTCTTCCAGCCAGTGTTTCTCACCCCAATGCCAGCCTGGAGAGAAGCTGAGCTGGGTGGCTGGAGGGCAGCCTGGCCATGCTACAGGGCTCTGGAGGCTGATGTGGAGGGGGAGAGAACCCAGGGGAGTCTCATCACCTCATCCCTACCCTAATCCCACCTCCACTGCTGCAGCATGATTGGGGAGCACAAGGCAGATGGGCACACAGCATCTCACCCCAAGCACCAACTCGCCATGTTCCCAGGCAGAGCATTTGACTTTTCACCTGTTTCACAAGAGGAAAGTTAGAGAGTAGCCTGTTGATGCTGTGTTTCTTGAATCCATCAGCACTGATATGAATCCTCTCTAACTCTGGCTGCAACCTGTTCTGAGCTGACTCAGCCTGCAAGAAATGAGGACCTGAAATCACTGCTCTTCCATGTCTGGAGCCCAGGTGGGCTGGGGGTGCTTGGCAGGGGACAGGCTGCACCTGAAAACCCCAACAATTCAAAGTAAACCCAGAAAGGACGACTGGCAAGAATTCAAGATGCAAGGTAAGGCTATAAGCAATCAATGGTGGCAGCAGTCAATAGGTATTTGGAAAATCTGAGGAAGCCTTAAACTGAAATGTCATCAGGTGTCTTCCTTTAAGGACACAGCACATTGAGTGTTGGGCACCTGGGGTCTGGGTATTGCAGGACACACGGAGACATGAACGTGTGGCCCCTCCTGCAGAGCTAACCCCCAGCCCACAGGCTTTCTTGGCAAAGTAACACATGTGCCAGCTGATAATGACTGGCAGCGTGATGTATTTCAGCATTCATTGCTAAGTGGTTCTGCCTGGAAAATTGACTTGAAAATGTGTTTCAGTATGTGCCGGATATTCTCATGCTAATTTCTCAGCCAAAACCTCCCATGTGGTGTCCAATGTGATATCAGTAACTCAAAGGCAGGGGAAAATGAAGCCTCTATCTGCTTTCAAGCAATTTATTCTCCTTTTGTCTTTTTACATCCAGCAGCTAAGTAAATTACAGGGATTAAAATACAAAAGACATTTAACTTTTTAACTGTAATTTCTTAGCTCCTGGCAACAGAGTAACAGAAAAAGAAGAGAAATTAAGAAAAAGAATTAAAACCCAAATATAATTTCTAATGATTAAAACACAAAATGCAATTTTAACTGATTAAAAGTAAGAGGACCTGTTTGAACACAAAGAAACAGCAGCAGGCTTCAGGATTCAAGTAGCCATAATCAGCTTCAATTTCACATTAAAAAAACAAAGGGGAAAATTTCTGCTGGTGATTACTTTGACTGTATTTTTGGTGCACTTCATCTTTATTCAAGCTTCTTTTAATTTTATCAGCTTTATCTTAATTCTGCTTTTCTCTTCCTCAAGTCTCGAGGGTTATCCAGCCCTTTGAACTGATTTCTGACATGCTCTGTGGGAGGTACAGTGCCTGTCTGGAGAGCTTGTGAGATGAAAGGTGTCTCATACTCTTTTTCCAGTTGGGCTGTAATACATAGAAGTTCATGGCTATGTGGGAAGTCAGTGACAGAGCTGAGAATTATCTCAAGTCCTAATGTCCAAGCCAGAAATAAGAGAAGTCAAACTACCATTTATTCATCGGGTGCAGTAGTTCTCAAAATGTAATTCTGAGCTCTGAATTCTCCTGTAAAACCAAACAGCTGCTAGGATTAACCTGGTATTTTGGCATTTCTTTTTAATAATCCAACATAAGTTTTCAAAACAAAACTCAATTTAGGGGGAAAAAAGCCACAAATAAACCAATTTTCTAAATTCTTTCAGTTTCCCATTGTCCCATCACAAGACAGCTCTCTGTAAAACACTGCACACTGTTTTCTGTTTTTAATGGTGAGTGCAGAGTCAGTACCAGAGTTGTAGGCATACACAAGACACTTGCTAGAAAGATGCACTTGGAAAAGTTGTTTCCCCTTATGAATTCCAGAACAAGAAAGCTCCTGCTAAATCCTTCATGTATGTTCAATATTTCAGTTGTTGCGGTATTTATTTCAGGTGTTTGTTGTGGGGATGGAACAGAGGTATTTGGACAATTTACAGCAATTTCTCACAACAGTTCAGTGGATTTTATATTTTGGAGAGTTTTAAAGTTTTGACTTCCCATGAATGTGTGATTTAAGAACTTGAGGACTCCATTAACACCTTTGTATTGAAGACAGTTTTCTGTAGTTCTCAGTCTGGGATATACACACATAGAAGAAATCCCTTTTACAAATAACTAACCTAAAAGGAGATTCCTTTTCCTTTAGCTTTCTGCCAGGCAAAAGACTTCACTGACCCCATTCTCTACTGGATTTTCCCTCCTGATACACCAATACAAACAAAAGGGCGCTTTGGATGATCTGAAGTAGCAGAGGTAGCTGCAGTTGCCTCAGATCCGAGGGTGACCTGCAAAGCCTTGCTCCTGAGGAGGATGCAGCAGAACAATGTCATCCTTGTTTGCCCTCATTTAAATCAGTGCCCGGAGCCTTTCCTTCCCCCTGTGCAGCACGTCCCCCACACAGGCTCACAAAGGGCCGTATTCATCAGTGAGCAGCAACTAGTTATAATCCTTTTGAAAGACAACAGGCTGTGCCAGCTCTACCAAGGCTTGTTTTAAAGAGTTCATCCTTCCTTGCTCACGCAAGCTCGGGGCTGTCTTGGCTGGCTCCTGTACATGCAGATGGATTTGAGGGTCTAAGGAGTAACTGGGGTGGTTTCCATGGAGTGGGAAAAAAACCTCCCTGGTTCAGCAAGTCCCGCTGAAGTGGTTACATCCCCTGTGGGAGCTCCACGACTTCCATCTTGGGAGCTGTTTGGTTTTGTGCCCACGTTCCTCCCACAGACAAGCTGCTGCACAACCTCACTTCACTGGATGGGGCGAACCTTCTTTGCACTTCCAGCCTCAATTTATTCATGGCCAGTTTGCTCCTATTTATTCCCATGCCAGCACTGGCCATTAGCTTAAATAGCTCTCCCGGCACTGGATTTATTAATCTCTGTGTGCTCGTAGGGAGCAAGCAGCTCCTTGCAGCTTTCACTTCGCAAGAATGAGACAGAAGGTGCTTTAGTTCTCCTGTTGCAGGTAGGTGATGTACGATCCTCAGTCCTCCCTGTTACCCCTCTCTTTGGCTAAACTCAATTTACATGTCCTGAGTCTTCCCAGGACAGGCCAGGGGGGGATGATCACAGCCTGGCTGAGCCCAGATGCTGAGGATGCAGCTGCAAAACCAAAGACCATGCCAAGCACGGCAGTAAAGTCAAATAGGGAAGAGAGAGCTCCCAGCAGACTTGGGCTGGATGAAAAATTGATTGTGGTGATGATGTGAAAATGCTGCAACATAAAAAAGCCAACACATGATTAATTAATTACCTCTTGTCAGTCGACCTTAATGTAAAGAGCAGGGCTGCCCTGTCTTTCCTTGTCTTCCTTCCACACCACGTTTCTGTACATTCTCCATCCTGTCCTGTCTTTCCCTGTTTCTGTCTCACCTCCCCTCTTGCCACTTTCTTTTCTTGCTTTCTTTCTGGAAAAGTCTTTCACAGTCTCATTCTGGACTGTACTGGGAGGCTGGTTGGATCTTAGCAAGGCAATTACTTTCTCGAAAGTCATCCCCAGAAGCCACCAAATGCTCTGAAGGCAGCCAAGGAAGAGCTTTAAAGAGGTTTAAACTTCTAACTGTGTTTATGAACTGTCAGGGGCTCTGTGTGGGCTCCTGTTTGCCAGTCAATTCCCTCCCACTCTCACCGGAATCCAGAGGTCCCCAGGGTGTTCCCCAAAACTTTGGCTCAAACCAAAAGCAAGATTGAAAATTATTGTATGACAATCAAGTCAGCAAAGGCCACCACTTCTTACCACACATGCATACAAGAACAAGCTCAGTTCCTGAAATTCAGACCCCTATTCCAACCTCAGCCCTGTCAGACTCCACAAGTTAAGTTAGTTTCTCCTAAATTCCTCCTATCTCCCAGTCTTGCATAGCTTCTCACAAAGCCCAGCAAGAGCCAACCCCCAGCAGAGGTGGTTTCTGTGGCAACTCTAAAAGTCACCCTTTGGATGATCTTAGAACTGCACATCTTCCTCTCATTGAAAGGACCAGGCACTTTAAGCAAAGAGATAATGGACAATCATAAATTGCTCTATGTTGCAGTAGTCCCTGTTGCTGCAGGGGAGATGCATTTGTCACCTAGCAACGACATAAGGTGACGAGGAAATAACAGAGTTTTAATCTAATGGCCATGAGTTAACATCTATCAAAGAGCAGCCTCCCAAGTCCGCTGATGAGGTGGATATAATTGATTGAGGAGGAAAGAGATATTAAACTTTTCATCAGTAAGTGGATGAGGAGGAGGGAGCAAGGTTTACCTTTCATGTATGTATATATGTATGTGTGCATATACCTTCTCATGGGGTGAATGAAAAAAGACCTAGAAAAATCCCTCAGACTGGAGATAACCCTCAGGCACAGAGCTACCCAGAAGATGAGCCTCAATATTGCAAAACCCTGAAGGTAGCAGTGTCTCAGTAGGCAGGGAGCAGGCGGGGGGGGGGGGGGGGTCATAGCCCATTGTGGGATTCGGTACAGAGCTCCTCTGGGCTTTTGGTATCAGGTCCTGGCTGTCTTAGAGCAAGTGCTGGGGCCTTTTATGACATTTATGTATTCAAACTGCTCAGCAGATCACAGACAGAGAGAGTTCTTATGTTGAAGCAGCAGCTCTTTTCAGTATCAGGATCATGTCTGAAGAAAAAGACAGAGCTGTTTGTGGACCCCCTCTTAGCTGACTCCCTCTCCTCTTGACATCATTACCAAGAGTACAGGGACAGGCTCCACAAATTGCTGCCACCACTTGAAACCTCTGTATGGGACCAGCCAGCAAAAAACATCAAAGTTTGCCTTGAGGCCAGGAAGCTGAATAGTGGCAGAATTAAATTCTTCCCCTTTTCTTCTAGAAATACACCCAGAACACATGCTACGCACTATTTTTCAGTACCAAGAGCTCATTGTGGTACCTACTCCCTGAAATACTGGGGATGATCCATTCGGTAGCTCTATATTGGAAGTATCCTGGGTGATGGCATGGGGGAAGTAATTGCGAGAGAAAGAAATCTGAAATTAGTTCACTGATGGATGATCTCTTTGAAGCTTGAAATTGTAAGAGTCACAAGGTTCCCAGCAAGGCTGTGCACATTTTTATAGAGGATCTTTTTCTTTTAAGAAAGCAGCTAAGAAACTGGTTTGGCTTTTTACTGCTGAACAAAATCTAAAAGGACTGGTCTGAACCAGGACACCAACATGTTCAGACCATTTATATCGTGTAGCACGTGTACTTAGCACCATTATGAGAGCTGCTTTCTCAGAGTGCATCATTTCAGAGGCTTGCCCTTAATAGTGAGCTGAAAGTTAACATTTGAGAACACCGGGGTTTGGTCTGGGTTTATGCAAAATTTTAACAATAAATAACAAACCTGGGTTGAGTATATGTATCAGAGTTGGTTAGACTTCTTGACCTTTTAGCTGAAGCAAAGCCACAGAGGTGTATCTCAATAGCAGCTTGGGTTTGTCAATCATTACTGAAGTAATGGCATCACAACATAATGCTTAACTTCTGGAGTGACGGCTAAACATATTCACGGCAACACGTTTTGTGTTAAATCTGGAAGAACCGTAGTTAATGATGCATTTCAGCCATGGGCCGTAAACTTCAGTGACAATCTATTACTGACTGCCAAACAAACCAGGATCATCAGTTCTGTGGTGATCAGAGCTACAGTGCAAACTGTCTTCCACCCCTGTTTAACTACATCATCTGGATGTATCCATCAGGATCAAATTGGTCCTTATATTGTGTAATGAAATTTATAACCTTTATGAGAACCACTGGGGATGTGTGTTTTCTCAGATGCATTTTCCTAGCAAACCAGCCCCTGGCAAGGAGAAGTGCCAGTGGTAGTTGTCTCAGGCTGGGAAAGGTTTCCTTCATCTTTGGTGGACATGTTTGAGGCAATAGGCACAGTGCATAGGAGATGGTTGGAGGTAGCTCTGCTTTTTCTGTAATCCCAGAATGGCAGCTGAAGGCAACAAGTAATGAAAGCATGGCCTCACAGTACGGTTTCCAGTGATTCTTTATTTGTAGCAGATCCTGTTAAATACAGCTGTGGGTTAATATGGAACCAAGCTTCAGCAGCAGGAATTTGTGAACAGCTATGAAAATACCCAAACAATTGAAAGGTGCTGACCTTAAACTAGTGTTCCTTTAACTTTTAGCAGCTGTTTGAGTGTGTCCATGCAAACCCAAATTAGTTCCCTGTCTAGCGGTAATTTCTGAAGTGCGGGAAGCCATTGGGTAACGTGTTCTCTGGCTGAAGGCACAATGTGAAGAGAAGTTTTAAAAGCTTCAAATTACAGAGGGTAAAACACTGCTGCAAACAAAGATCTTCCCACGTTTCACCTGCTAGTGATGAGGAGACCTGGAGCTTTGTGTTCTGCTCCATGGATCACAGGAACTGGAGTTCTGTGTTTAACCTTCTTCCAGGTAACCAAACCCTTCAGTGGGACCAGGCTTATTTTAGGAATTTTGTGGGGGGAAGATTTCAAATTTTATAGAATTAAGCCGTCAGCCCTTTTTATTTTTTTGGGAAGAATTTTTTGAGGATCTGATGAATTTGGGGAAGATTAAACCTTCACAACAATTTTGATTAATACAGAGAAAACCACTGCCTTAATCCTTTATTCTGTCTATGGCAGTTGAAATGGAAGAGCATGGGTCTTCATCAGCAGGAGTGGGTGTTTGGCTGCCTTGATACATTACTGCCTCAGAGCAGATGCACTTTGCTGCAGTTTAACTACGCTGAGGTAGCTCTGCTGAGATAGTTTGAAGGATGATAAAAGAGAGTCCAGAGGTTGTAATTCAGCCATGAAGAATACTCAAGGTACATGTAATCATAACAATCAGCTGTCTGGTTTTGACCTGTTGTTCTAATAATCAATTGAAGTGCAAAAAAAAAATTAAAATATTCAGCACCACGGTGCATGTGTGACATGGCAAATTAGCTCAGTTTTTAAAAGACATGTCTGGAAGAGTTGAAGCTTCTGTCTTTTTCCCTATTCCTCACTCGGGTCTCAGCCGCTCATGAATTTCATAGATAATGTTTTATATGAAAGACTTATTATACTTAAAGACCTCTGGTGAAACTAGGAACCAAAAGGCAGTGTGTGCACAGTATCAGACATGTTATAGAGATTTGTGGGGTGATTTGCTGTTTACAGTGACACAAGCTTTGCACAACAAAATCCTTACAAAGAAGTCCTGTTAATTAGAGATGTAATATGAGATCTCTCAATTATACCTATTTGATATGAATTTCTAATACAGAACAGTGCTTGCCAGTTTGGCTTGATAAAAGTCAGAAATCTCTACATGTTTTGTATATACACAGAAGGTAATCCAAAGTAAAATAATAATTTACAAATTACATTCTAACAGTTTTCTCCAAGAAATAAATCTAAATTCTTCCAACTTGCTCATTCTGCTTCCCAGTGTTATTGTAATTCTATTCTGATCTGAAGTTTTTCGTAGCAAATTTGGGCAAGTGTTATAATACAACTAACACAAGTCAGGCAAAAACTGTATTGAATTCAATTCAATCATATGGATGAACCACTCTGGTTACTTTTTGCTCAGGTAATCTGAAACTAAGACTAAGATCAACAAGGCTTGCAAAAATAAACTTGCTTGAACAGAGAGTAGAAATTTACCTGAAAAACAAGTTTCAGGTTCACATATTTGCAATACCTGAAACCTGAGTCTGGGAATGATGCACCACTACTATCCAAAAACAGGAAAATGCTGGTTAGAGCACACATCTGGTCAAATCAGCTCAAATTTACAGCTACATTCACAATTAGCTACTGGAGAATGAGCTACAGACCAAGAATTTGGTCACAGGACAGTTTCAGCAGACATTTATGAACAGCAACGCCCAGTTCTATAAACATGTCTCTGACACCTGCTGTGTCTCCCTGCTTTTGTCCTTCCCTCATTCATACCAAAACAAATGCCTTCCCCTTGGCCGAGGTTTCATCTGCAAGCTGTTGAATTTATCGAGCTCTCTGAAGGGTTATCCACTGGTTTCAATGCGGGCTAGCTCAGATCAGAGACACACAGAGGAGAGAGCTCAGCCCTGTGATCCCTAGGGAGAGGTTTGGGGCTCTTTCTCTCCGACATCCTGCTCTAAGATCAGTAATTATACTGGTAAATTATAAAAAAACAACACATATCTGCCCTCTCTGATTTACATGTGTGTTTTCAGTTAGCAGACTCTGAGTTGGACTGTGAGCTTGGCGAGAGGTGAGTGTGGCTCCCTGTTTTCTCATGCGTGACATCTCCCACTCCAGGTTCTGTCGGGGATGCTGTGCTCCTGCCCAGCACACTGGCACAGCAGCAGAATGAGGGCTTCCAGGAAAGGGCTGCTTAGTTTTATTTCCAAAATTAGAAAGGGAGGCTGGTATCCTTTTGGGTTTTCAGAAAAAACGCACGTGGCGGGTGCGATTGTTGAAAAGCAAACCAGTTGCACACTGCTTCGTGCATCACCTGCATCTGCTCCCATCTACATAGAGAAACTTCTAACAGGGTTCCCTTGATGGAGGAAAACTTCTCAATCCTCAACTTAGCAACGATGCTTCTCTTTGTGTTAGTAGATGTGTATTGGAGCCAGTATGGTCCCCTCATGCTGGACTGAAAGTTCCTTTTATTTTTCCCTTGTTAGGTGCATTGGGCAGAGTGATGAAAACTTTAGCAGCTGGTATGTGTGGTAAGTTTCAGATCTGTTTTAGAGGAAAAAATAGCAAATAATATTCTTTGATGGATATATAGAGAGAAAGGCATTAAGAGAGACTGATAGCTAGAGAGCATTGCTCCTGGGCTGTCCCTGTGTTCTGTCTTTACTGACTAATGGGAATCATTTATCCATATCCTCCTCACTGTATGCTGACAAGTGAGAAGTGAGCTGGGCAAAACCGATGAATGATTTCGGGGAGAAATGTTTGAATTTCCAGCCAGCACTCAGCGCTGAGACATTGGTTTCCAGGGACTTTGATCATGTCCAGTACGCTGATGGGGAAACTGCAACATTTAACGGCTATTTGCAAAAGATGTTAATGAATATGTTAATTTGAAGATATGCAGCCATCTGTCGGTGCTGCCCACAGATGGTGATGGTACTGTTTCTCCCCTACTGCCTCTGCCGCAGGTTCCTGATGTTGTTTTTCCTGGCCTTGCTCCTGTCCTGCGGGATCTGCTGCTGCCTGCAGTGCTGGCTGAAATGGCGGAGCTGCCTCCCCCACCAACGCACCCTGGCCGTCTTTGCGCTCAGCAGCTCGGATGTCTTTGGTGGTTAGTCCTCTCCAGACCTCCTGAAAGGTCCTTCTGGCCCCAGCGGGCTTCCCATGGCCCATGCATAGCCCAGTAAGAGGCAGACAGGCTTGAGTGGGAGCTGGGCTGCAGCTGGGTTCTGTGTTTCTGGTGAACAGTGGGGTACCCAGCTTGGGCATCTTGGGGGGATGTTTGGACTACAGACTGGAAGGCTTAAGCAAGCTACATCCACGATTCCTCAGCTGTACCTTCAGCTGAACTCAGTGCTGTCCCTGTGTGCCGTGTGTCCCAAAGTCAGGAATTGGCCATGCCAACACTGGAAGTGTGTGGGACCTTCTCCTTGGCGCCAGGGCACTCAGCAGCCTGACACACACAGTCACAGGCACTGCCTGGGGTCAGGCAGCCCTTTCCAACACGTGACCTGCATTTCTCACACAGGCAAGACCATGCTGGTCTACTTGAGCCATCCCAGCAGGCAGTTTGACTAGCTGATACCTTCCAGAGTCTGTCAAAAAGTTGTCTTGGTGGGTGCTGTTCATCACAGTAGTCACCCTCAGCATCCCTCAAGGGGCACTCAGACTTCTGAGGACTGGGCTATAACGACTATGTCTGGCACCCAGCACTGACCTGGAGTATTGCCAGCAGGCTGGACCAGACAACCGTCCCTCCAAGAAGAATAAAGCTAATTCTGCCACTAGACCTCCCACAGGAGGTATTGCCTGCTTTCTGGGTGGTCAAGAACAGTGTCTCCACGGGGAGGGCCCACCCCAAATCCACCCAAATTCCTCTGTTCTGACTTCTTGTATCTGGAGTTTGTGGTGAGAGGATTTGTGATGCCATGCTTCAGAAATTACATCCATGTCTTTCTTGTTTCCAAGTGGTTTGGCAGCTCCTCCCAGACTCACCCCTCTCACTCCCACACTCACTCTTCACGCCTGTATGCTGTACAGTTACGGATTTGCTTTTTTTCCAGCAAGTGAAGTGCCTCAGTGCCCATTCTCTGGATCTCCGAGCCCCTGCATGACTGTGGAGATGTCCTCTTCTTCTGAACCACAGTTCAGCCTTGGGGGAACTGAGTTGCCTCCATCCTACGAGGATATTATGAAGGAAAACAAGCTTTAGATGCCACATGTTGGCTTTCTGCAGTTCCACTTGGCTCATTGGAGATGTTCTGTTATGCTACAGTAGTGTGAGATCAAATCAGCCCTTTCCACAGGTTGGTTGAGAGACTGAAAAGCAGTACATGTTTCATTTGAATCTAAAAGGGGAGACAAAATGCAACAGAATAAATGCCAAAAGCATGTATTGAATCTGTCACAGGAGCTCGGCTTGACATTTTGATAGGGCTCTGGATTTTGAGAAGCTCCCTCAAAGGTCTGTCTGCATTCAGGGTTTCTGGCTCAGCCTCCAGATTTATCTCTCTAAGGCTGCTCAGGCTGGTGCAACCTCATGTGTTTTAGGACAGAATGTTGATTAATGACTTGATAGTTACTTCTCAAACTTGGGCTGCCTCCTTCACTCGGCACAGTGCCAACAAACACCCTCTGGCAAAGTCATGTTGTTCTAATACATTGTAATGCAATCATGCCACTCTGTGATGAAGGATCGTTTGACACATTTAAAATATTTAGCACAGCATATCAGATTTGTCTAGTACAAAAGGCAGCAAATTTATGGCCAGGGGAGGGAAAGTAAGTGATGGGGATTAGGAGTGGAGTAGCAGTGGCAGGAACTGGTTACACAGCACAAAGAAAGGGAGTTTGATCATTTGAGCTGTTCTTAATTTCACAGTGACTGTCCCCAGCTACTCTTGCCCTAGCATTGCAGACCTACAGGCTTTGTTTGAATGGCCCAGGACCCACATGGAAGTTCCCCACAGACATGAATTATGGGGTTAGGTATTTGGTGCTTAGTTACAGAAATTTATTAGGATAAGGAAAGCCATTTTCTTCAATGTGACCTCTGCAGACAGGATGGGAAGAGACTTCAAGAAGACTGCCTTATACCCAAGCAGGATCAGCTCTACCTAAGCCATTCCTGGGAGGTATTAACTTGCCTAGTTCTCAAATTACAGAGGAAAGATGCTGAATTTCTCCCTTAGCTGGATTCCAGATGAAAGCAAAGATTTCCTTTGTTTGTTATGGGCTGGTCACTGAAAGCTGGATTCAGCCTGTCTGACCTCTCTACCTCTGCTCTCTCAATGGCGAGGGCTGGGGGATGCAATCAGACCCCCCTTGGTGCAGAAAGTAAATGTCACACCTAGTACCATGCGTTGTATACCCAGGGAGCCACAAACTCAGGGTCAAAGTGGGCAGCTGGTATCCTAGGTACCCCAAATGATTAATGGAAGCCCACAGCCTGCCTCATGGAGCTGCTCCCCACCTGTAGAGTGGGTTTAGTACCAGTTCCCCTGCTCAGGAAGGAAACTAGGAAGATAAATCCACTAAAGGTTATGAAGTGCTCACATATTCTCATAATGAGGCTATATAAGTACCTTCGCTAGATAAAGAATTATAGCATATTTCGAGAGACAAATTCTCTGCCAGCAACACCACAAATTATCTTCATAAAATCTTATTTTAGAAGCAGCTTTAATGTTTGACTCTTGTGTGAAAGGAAATAAATGTTACAGTAGCAAAATGAATGTTTGTGCCAGCAGGCTAAAATATTACAGGGTTTATTAATAAGGAAAATTAGCAAGTACAGACTCAGCCAGTGGAGAAGTCGAGCAGTTCCTGAGTGTCCTTTTGCTGGTTGAACTTAGTAAGAATTGCAGGTAATCAGCACCTCTCAGGATCAGACCTTTTATATACATAACTGCTTCTACTACTCAGCCCCTTCAATTTATGCCCTGAAGCATGAGATTTGATTATGTTTGTCACTTGATCTTGCGTAGCCTGATAGTGGGCATTAAATCAGCCATCACTTCATTCCCACCTACACACTGCATTTGCTTCAGTGACCCTTTCGTGGAAGTGAACTCCACAGGTTGTCTGCATTATATGCTGCATAAAACATTACTGTCTCCTGCTTATTAATTGCTTGGCTCTAAATAAATTGCTGCCTTTAATTTCATTGAATGTCACCTTCTAATCAGATGGCTGGAGAGGTTAACAAGTAAGGACTGCTCTGGTTTCAATGCCTCCATCACTCTGCATCCCTCTTTCACAAGGCCAGTGAGCAGCACTCATTACAGAAGCAGCAAATCCTTCCCCAGCCACCCAACAGAGGGCAAGCAAGGCTTTCAGCAACGCACCCAGGAGGCTGCAGCTCTTGCAGAAACATTTGTGGGAACAGGTTTTTGTTTCTGTGCTACTAGTGAAGTGCATTCAGCTTCATGGTTGGGGTCCTTTAATTGTTCACAAAAGGAATAAAACTATTCCACCAAAATTGCGTCAAGTGGCTTATAGTAAAGCAAGCTACTAGCTGTCACAAAATTAGGCTCCAGCTGAAGTCACCAGCGTGGGAGGACCTGTGTACTGCAGTGCTTGTGCAACACGGCAGGAGCCTTAGGCGCTTCCAAAAACTGCAGAAGACCAGGACCCATTTGCAAAAAGAGTGTGTGTAGGGTTGTTTTGGGGGGTGGCATAAGATGACCTTGCTGCTGGCTTAGGGTGGAGAGAGTACACTGAGAGAGGGATCACTGGGTGCTGCCCTGGTCCTTGGCTTCCTGATCATTACAGTGGAGAAGGGATGGGTTCCTTCCTTCTGCAAATGTATTTGGGATGGCCCCCTTGACATACTGTTGCCCACAAAAGCTGCTTCTCCCAGCCTGCCCCCTTACTCCCAGGTGCTCCAGCAGAATGGGCAAGGTTTCTGGATATCCATGTTCCTATTCTTACAGAAGCAGAGATTTTGCCTGGTATCTTATGCTTTTGTAAATACACAGCCCTTAATGAGGGCAGTTAATGCAGTTTTGCTGATGTTTCCAGAGTTATTAGGAAAGATGAGCCATTTATTTATAATTCATCACCTTAGGGATGGGGTCTACTTTGGAAAAGCACTTGTTCTACTGTGACCCTCTGGCTGACACTCATCCTTTGATTTATACTTCCTGTTGATTTTGAGAAGAAAGGGCAAACTGCTTTAGAAAAACCAAGAAAAAAACTAGAAGGCAGATGTATTTGTGGGAGAACTCGCTGTCAGTAAGCCTTGCGAGGGGGGAATGAGAGCAGTGCAGAGGAGCTAATTGCGTGGTGACCATCTGGAAGCGAAGACAAAGGGGACATGGAGAAACATGCAGCTTGACTTTCACCTCTGCATATCAGGAGCTGAATAATAAAGTCATAGGCTGGCTCTCAGGCAAAATAGAGAAAAACTAAAGGCAGCTGACTCATAACAGGGAGTTGGTCAGGGCTGCCAGGAGGGTTGCACACAAAAGATGTGAAAATAATATAAATGCTCATTAATCTGTTTTTTATTGTCATCTGAAGACTCTGGATTATGGGCTAAAGGCTTTTGCGCAGGGAGGAAGAGGATGGGGCCGAGGCCAGATGCTTGCTCTCTTCGGGTCACTAGATGGCACAAGTCTGGCTCTCTCCTTTCTCACTCAAAGGCATTTTACAGCAGGGACCCAAGAGCTACCGGGAGAATATTGTTCTCCGCTCTCAGTAACAGTGCTCAGACAGAGTATCTTGGTCAATAATCACTTCCCCACAATATTTAACAGATGCAGAAGAGCAAACTGTGGGGGTCTGGCCCCAGCTGAGAGAGAACCTCGCTTTCTTGGTGGAATTTCACTTTTCTCTTTTGGAAAGCTTATAAAATGCCAATAAATATATTTGTCTAAACTGGGGATAAAGTCTACAGCTGTCAAAGAGCTGTTGCTGTAGATGTGCAGTGGGGTCTCAGGTCTGTAGCTACAGGCAAAGGTCTGGACAGCCTCCAAAATCATACCCCACGTTCCCAAGGGCTGGTCCTGTTTGTGGGGCTGCTTTTTGTGTGTCCTTGCAGGAGAGCAGTGATTTCCCTCACAGGAGTCAGAGCAGGTCACTTTGAAAAACACCTTTCTGGGCAAGACTCGGACATGAGTTAGAGAAACATAACGCTCAAAGGTAACTGCATTTATTATATCTCACTAACATTACAATATGTAAGGAAAACAGAATTCTGAAGTAACATTCTCATCTACTGAAAATAAGTGTTCAGAACTACCGAATTCACACCAAAATCACCTTACAATGTGTGTGAAAATGTAGAAAATGCATATTTTGGGAAATATTCGTGCCACTGCAGCAGGAGATAGTCTAGTTCACAAGGCCACAGTGAGACCTAGTAACAGCCGGAGTTGTAAAGAGTCCTTAGAACAAGGCTGATCGAGGTAGTGAGAGGACAAAATATTGCAAACAGAAAAGGACAGCCGTTGCAGATGTCATTGTTTTATTCTCTCTCACACGTATTTCAAAATGGGAAATCAATACCTATCTTTAAGGCATGAAATCTTGCCTACTAGACTTTGCTGTTTTCCATAACCTGCAACCAGCTGGATCCCTGGCAGACTGCACCAACCAGCATGCTGTCAGTGGAGAAGGCAATGGGGAGCCTCAGGTTCAAGGACATACCATGGGGCAGGTACAGAAGGGAGGAAAAGTGGGAGTCCCAGCTCTCAGTTAAGTCCCTGTCTCTGCCTATACCCTGGGGATTGGAGCAATGAGACTGAGATGCCCAAACATACAAAAATACTCCTTGGAAGTTAATGAAAGTCTGGATAAACCTAAAAGACTGTTTTGGCACTGAAAGATTAAGTGTTGGGCCTCAGCTGGAAATTGTAACTGAGCAAAGAGCCTAGGTAAGCCATCAGTGGCCATCAGGAAGGCAAAGTCAGTCTGTTGTCATTCCTAGCGAGCTGCTGCTGAATGGGATGTAGGTAGGTATTAAGGAAATACCTTAATATCTGAGCTCACTTGCAAGGTCTTTAGTCTTAGGGACTGGTTGTGATTTTGAAAGAAAAAAATAAGTCTTGTGTACTTTCTGGGAGATTTCTTGCTAATGAATAAACAACCAAACTAAAATAGATCTGCATTGTGGCATCATAATGAGATAATGAAGAGTGAATGCAGTCATGAAATCAGAGTCAGAATTAAATAAAACAGTAGATTAACAATTAAGTATTAATGACTGATCAAAACATCAGATAGACTGTCAGGAGGATTTGAATAATGAAGCAATGCAGCATTGGACTGGTTGTTACAAATCATTAACCTGGCAAACCTAAGGGTTGCTATGACCTTTTCCTAATCCTCTTGTGCAGGAGATAGATCCTCAATAGCTATCGTAAAATGTGGCTAGAACAGGAGTATGGTTAAAGAATTAACCCTTATTCTACATAGATACTGAAGAGGAGAAAGGCTCACAAATGTTTATACAACATTCTTTGTATACAAAGAATAATTGTATGTACATTCTTTGTATTCAAAGTGTGTTTGAGGATGATGGACCCTGAGTTAAGGTAGTATTTGGGGTATGCATTTGCCTTATTTATGTACCCCCAGGAGGAGCACAGAGCTGGAGGGGCTAATGAGACCAGTGCTTTATATTCACCACTGGTCAGGGCATAGACACTCAATCCCAAAGTGCCCTCTGAGCCACTGCTTGGTGTAATCCATGCATTGCAAGTCACAAAACAGCTCCCACTACCTTAAAACAAGCTGAAGACCATTAGGACAAAGGTCCAGAAGTCTCCTCAACTACAGCCTACTGGAGAAAAAGAACAGGAAAAATCAATGGTCTGAGATCTGCCATTATACCCAGATTAGCAAAAGACCCCAGACTTTTTCTCCTCTGCTGAACAAGAAAAAAATCTTCCCGGCAAGAGACACTCTTTACATCTCAGAAAAAGCTACAGAAAGCAGCATCAAGAGGCTGGTGGGTGTCCCTGAGTGTTAGTCGGGAGGGCTAACATGCTGGCTGCATAGTCTGGGAAGGATTTGATTCAGGATTTTAGTCCATGTGATCATGTCTTTTCTCAGTACCTCCTCCCAAGGAGCATCTCTACACTGGGTGAGTCAGGCTGGGGCAGCCCGCATCATCGCAGCATCTTTCCTCCCTTGGAGAGGTTGAAGGAGCATTTGTCTCACTGGAGAGGAGCAGGGACACAGGCGCTGGAGCAGTCACTGAGCAGAACTCTGCCTCTGCAGTGGGTTTGCCCCACCTCTCCTTCCTGGCATGTCCCTGAAGGAGCAGGGGAGCAGGGCACAGCCCAGGGACCAGACCCAAAAACGTTCCCAGAGATTCCTTGCCCCAGCACAGTGTACCAGCAGCAGCTCTTCTGCCCAAAAAGCCCCACAGCAAATACATGTTTCTGAAATGACTGTGAAAAAATTTTTTAACAAAAAGCTCTGGGTGCAGCTTCCCGCAATAACAGGCAAAAATTCCTATCACCTCCAGATCTCTTTGTGCATTCTTGGTATAATCCGTGAATTCATCACAACACTCACAACTCTTGTACTCCTTGTCTCTCAGGACTTTGTAAAAAAGCCTCTGTCACTTCTCCTGCTGTGTTTACATCTGTTCAATATAGCTCAGCTGTTGTCAATAAGTTGCTTTCAGTTTGGCTAACATAAGCATCTGCCAAACAAAGCAGCATGAACTCTGTAGGCACGAAGCTTCCCTCGCCTGGGCAGCAACACTGCCATGAGGGCTCATGCTGAGACGGTTGCATTGTGGTCTGAGCCTTGTGAAGGTGCTTGAGCCCACAACAAAGCCATATGGACCTGCTGTTGTCCCGTCTGTCCCAGGGCCTGAGTGTTATTTGATTAGGAGCCATGTCAGGATTGGATTACGTTTTAATGTTGCTGGTCAGTTCTGTGCTGCAGCACAAGATGCTGCTTCCAAAATAATCTGAGAGGACTCAGTCCCTCATCTTCCACCATAGGAGCTATCAGAGGTGCTCTTTGGGACACAGCCCACTCCATCCACAGCCATCCCATCTCCCTCTGGCCCTCATAACACAAGGCTTCGCTTCATACTGCCTGGGGGGAGAAAGGGAGTTTCTCCACCCAGACTCCCCACGAAGTCAGTGGGGGAAGGCCTGGTGGTGCCTCAGTACCCGTGGCTGTGCACACCCTCCTGAGACTCCACTTTTGTTTCTCCACTGCTCCTGGGTAGGTATATCTCTGTGCTGAGAGCCTTTTCTCAACCCCTGTTGCCCATGACCATATGATGTGGTGCCCATGGTAGAAAGGACTGGATTTGGGCAGTTCATACCAACCCTAAGAAAACTTTTTCTCAGCTCCTCTTTCTGTTAAAGGCATGAAAGAACATTTGCATCCATCCACAGGGAACATGTTAAACCACACTGGGTTTTTTTCACCCACTCCAGTGAAGACATGGATGATGATCCAGACTGATCCAGCCTACGACATCCTGGATTGCAGCAGGTGACAGCAGTCCTGAACTGGATTTAAATATCTTTTGATAAAAAGGGACAATAGATTTTACTAGCATTTATGTTAGTTTCTAGCTGGTGTAGACATATTGTCATGCACAAGGTCATATCTTGGATCTTCACTGTCTTTGTCCAGGCAAAATTTTTACTAAGCAGAAAGAAGCTGGGATTTTCCAGATCTCAGAGAGTCTAGAGCATCTGTGAAGTACATTTTAACACTTACTGAGAAGAACTGTATTTGCAGGGAAGAATGCACCTGAATTTGCAGTATTTCCTCAGTGCAGAGGGTCATGGTCCAAAGAAAGGGCCAGGCATTTAACACAGCTCTTTATCTTCTGCTGAACTCTCCAGCTGCCTTTAAGAGGAGCAGCCTCCCATCCCGGGTGCACAGGGTCCAGATGTTGGCCAGACGATCAGTCCCTCTCTTCACCCGTGTTTTCTGCTTTGTATGTTCTGTCGACACATTGCCAGACACAAAACAGATCCATCTTAGAGGCTGGGGATCTTCATGCTGAATTATCTCAACTTGTGCCAATAGTGTTAAGCCAGATGATGAAAGAGTTTGTGTGGGTTATTTCAGTCTGTGCTTATGCAAGTGGCCTTCAGCACTAAAGACAACAGGAATTCCTGAAGCAAGATCTCCTCAGAGATCATTTTCTAGAAGGAAGGAGGTTTTTTAAGCTCTCATAGTGCAAACATTTTGGCATACCGTACATCCTTGAAATTTAACTTTGTATCTGTATCACAACCACAGGAGATTGGGTCTCTGTGCAATCCACTACAGATAGAAGTTGAGCTCTTTCTGGAGCACTCACCTTCCTCTCACACTCTTGTGTCCACTGCATACATTTTGGCAGTAGCTGTTTGAGAGGATGGTAAATGCACGTTTGTTACGATTGTCCCAGCTGAAGAATAGCCTTTCCTCAAGGAGTAAGCAGAGTGGAGTCTTCCAGAGTTGGTCTCTGTGAGGCACAGGGAGAGAAATAGGATCTGCTAATGAGTGCTTGGTGACTTTCAGCTGCAAAGCCTTGAAATGCAGAGAAAACAACTCCAGGATATGACATAATAACACATTTTATGTCATACTTACACCTCAGCCCCCACCTGAACGCCTTGATATGCTAGTGCCACTGAAATAATATTATTCCTATTTTACAGCTGAAGATATTGCTACTGGGGATGACCAACCATCCTGAAGAGTGTCCCTGAAGTACTTCCCCCACCCTGTGTGCCTGTAGCAGACCCCGAGCAATGGCTCTATCTCTGAACTGTGTTTCAGCCCTGCCACGGTTCCTCACCTCTGAAGAGGTACATGCAGCAGGTGAGCAGGGCCCCGGATAAGAAACAGCCAAGTGACCCTGCCATGCCAAGCCAGCACGACCAGCCAAACTTGTACTGGATGCCCAGAAACACGTTGTGGAAGACCAGAGAGGAGCGCTCCACGTAGACATCAACAGCGTACCACACCGAGCCGGTAATGCCTGGGAGACCTGTGGGACAGGAGGGAGGTACCACACACAGCTCCCAGATGGACCACCTGTACAAAAACTGGAGCTATAGCCTTTTGTCTGCTGCATTAGGTTTTAGGATGGACAGGTTTTGGCCCCTGTTCTGTTTCATCCTGGTCACTTTGGCAGATTCACCCTGGTTCCTACTGATATCAGCTGGAGTGCTGTCTGGCAGAGGCTGCACCTCACAGCTTGGCACTCGCAGACACCATCAGTGCCGGTTGGCAGCACTCAGGTTCCTGCTGTAAAAGGCAGAAAGCTCCTCCCTTCCCAGCTTGTTTATCAATTTGTTGTAAAGTTGCTTCAGGAATTTAATTTTCTAACCTGTTTTGACTTTCAGAAATTTGACAGTGTTTTTCAGACAAACTTTGGGAGGTGAATGGAGGATGATTAAAATAACCTTTCAAAGTGTCTTACATGTGCTCCCAGTGACTGGGGTGAGTTATGTGTTAAATCTGCTTATGCTGAAGCAGAGGTAGATACTCAATATTGGCATAAAGTCAGATGGTATTACTTGGTACCTAGGTGGCTGTCCATTTATTTTTGCATTTAAAATTCTCCCATTGGCTGTAACAGCAAAGCACCTCAGGCAGTCGGGTATTTATCACCTAGGAGGGACAGACATGTTATTATCCTTTTATTAGAGATCAGCTGAAGAGATTTCAGGCTAAGTGACTTGCCCAAGGTAACACAATCTGTGTCAGACCTAGGAACTGAACCAGGGTGCTGGGACTTTCTAGTCCTTCAGCAATTAGATCTCTTTGCCTTATCAACAAAGCTGACTTCTTCACAGTAAAACAGTGGTAAATGGAAGGCAGTCAACTCAGACAAGTCACCTGGTCAATACATGAAATGGAAGCAGATAAACTCAACTATGTGCTCTTAGGGGCAGGCAGTGAACAGAGGAAGATATGTTGCATAAATAAAGATCCTTCCCCCATGTTTATCCTCTAGAAAATCACCAACCCATCTCCCCAAAATAAGAGAAGGCTTTAGAGCTTCCGCCTTTGCTAAAGGGTGTCCCACAGGATGGGGGAGCAGCAGGGAAATACCTGCAATGAGCAACATAACTCCAGACACCAGGCAGATGCGCAGCTTGATGAGCGGCTCATCAGGAAGGAATTTCACACAGTCCAGTCCCAGGACAAGGAAGAGAAATCCAAATCCTGCCAGGATATCGGCTGTGATCATCATGGCTCGAGTCAGCACCAGCTTCACTGCAGGACAAAAGCAGATCATTCTGGTGCACAAGGAACGGAAATGTTGGTAGGTAATAGGATCAGATCCCATGGGAACATTTTTTTCTGGGGTGAAGACTTCTCTAGCTTCCCCTAAGAGTAATACCTCACTGAGAAAAGAAACACAACTCTAGTATGTATGCATACCAAATTATCTGTCACTGAGTAGAATAGATGCATTTTTGTCTACATTCAGGTGCTATCAGCACTTGTAGAAACATCTTTGACTCTTACGTACCAGGGTGCTCGGCGAAGATGGAGTCATACTCATCGCAAGTTTGGATCCCATCAAAAACGTTTGTGACACATTCCCACCACAAGCCACGGCATTTTGTACTCACCTGTGTGTAGAGAAGAGAAAGAAGACTGTAAGTGAACATGTCCACCAACATGGTGGATGGTCAGCTAGGCCCTTCAACAGAAATCCTGGTCCAGTAACGTTGGTGGCAAATTGGAGCTGTTTAGCTTGAAGAAGAAAAAAAGCATTAGGATGGAGAAAAAAAGGCAATGTTTTCTGTGTCCCTACTAATGGTCTTAAATTAGAGCAAAAGAAACTGAAACTAAACATTAGGAAAAAAACCTTCCTATTGGTAAGGATAAAAATTCTGAAAGAATTTTCTAGGAGGAGCTGTGGGGTGGCTGATGGGAGAGATCTAAGAGCAGGTTTGATCGCTCCTTGCCAAATGCTTGTCTAGGCTGAGCTGGGCAGGGCTATGGACTAGATGACCTGAGACTTTGCTGTCCATGCTCCCCTTGCATCATCCTCCCACCAAGAAGGAGCAGCCCAGAGGGGAGCATGACTGGCAGGGCAGGCGCTGCACCAGGAGCTGGACGCCCGTCGTGGGAGGCAGCCGCGGCGTGGCAAAGGAGTGCTTTGCTGCAGAGCCGAGGTGTGGATGTGAGCCCCTCTCCAGACACGCGTGGAGGGCTGCCCCTGAATGACTCAGCCATAAACACCACCTGGAAAATGAGAGGCAACCAGCACTGATCCCAGCCCTGGGGCTCCGGGTGCGCTGCCGGCGATGGGACCATGCGTGCCCGAGCCACACTCATGGCTGAGACATCCAGACTCAGGCAGACGTTGCAGTAGCATCATGGCTAATTGTTTCTGCTGTCCTGAAGCCGTAGATACCATTCCTAGCCCAGCCTTCCATAAATCACTTTAATATGGGAGGTATTTTCATTAACAATGCAAATATGGCAACAAACACCTCTAAAACATTCCTGGAATTGCTCATACAAGGAGCAGAGTTAATGTCAGTGCAGCTTTGGACTCCAGCCTGCCCCGCTGCTGAGACACCCACTGTACTTGATGGAAGAAGAAACTCTCCAGGGTTTCACACAAGGGAAGGGGACTAGGCTTGTTTGGATGACACAATAAATTCAGTTTTCTCACACCGTGTAAATCACAAAGCCGATAATAACATATCTCAGCCACTTAATAAAGTCTCGTTCAGGGTATATTGAAGTCTGTAGCCAAATGTAGTGTTTTCTTCACAATACCCTGTCTGAGCCAAACTGTACACCTTCTCTGTGAGACTGCACTATGCTTAAAAGGTGAGTAAAGATGATTTGCTACTTCAGACTGGCAAAAAAAGATATTATTTTTGTTTGAATTTAAAAAATCTACATGTTTTGTTTCATGAAGATGAAAACTACTTATAATTTCTGAAAATTTTGGGAGAGGTTTAATGAAAAATATCACAAAAAATGGGAAGTGGTGCTGAAAAAACCTGGTTTCATTGATTCTGTGTTTTTGAAGAGAACAGTGTCATGTAAAACAATTTGCTATTTTTACATTAGATTTAAGTTTTTACCATGGCCCTTTTAATCCAGCTGCAGCTCCTCTTCTTTCTTATCTTACCACCTTTCATGCTGTGATTGAAATTAGCATGTTTTTATTAAAATACATTTTGTTCCACTTGTATTTATATAATTTCATGTTCCTCCTAAACCACTGTAGGCTTATTCATACTACTCTGTATTCAGCTAATACTCATTTACTTCCTTCCTTGTTCACATTAGTATAGTTTTTTAAATCTTACAAGCAACATCTTTGTCTAAATTATTTATAAAGAGACTAACAGGATTCCAGGCTTTGTCAGCCTCCAAGCAAAACAGAGGTCTTAAGGTGCAACAGTTGTAATCATGGTTTAGCTTGTGAAACATCCCCCTTCCCAGACTAGAAAAAAATTTTACAAATGTTTCGTATTTCTTGGGGTGTTTCAGTTGCCCCCTACTCCTGCTAGGGCTGAACACGGGCAGAAGCAGGGATCAGCCCATATAAATGTCTCATTGCCTGGTGCAAGAGTGGTGGGAACAGATGAGGGGGAACCCGGGGCTGGCCTGAGCCACAGCTGAGCTATTCTGGTTTCTGTTATCTGTCTCTTAACCTCATTGGCCATCCCTTGCTCCCCTCAGTTTTGTGAGCCCTTTGTCCTTCTGATTGTTAATCTGATCCCAAACCACCCCTGGGCATCTGCCTTTGCACAAACAGCACAGACCCTCAGGCACTGGGGAACTAGCTGATGTAAACCTGAGAGGGGTCAGGGCTGGCTGGGGCATCATGTGGCAGCATGGATTGCTCCATCCCACGGCCAGACCCATGCACCATGTTGGGAGCACTAATTCCCCATCATCTCTTTCCCTCCATAGCAAGTCTCCTCCAGCTTCCCTTGGCCCAACCAAGGGCTCCCTGAGAAGCTAAGCATCACGGCCAAGCTCCTCATCTCCCACTTTGATTACGAAACACATTGCCACTACCTGCTTTCCCTAACACAAGTATGCATGTAAAACATAAACTGCATAATGTTTCTAATATATATATAATTATATGCTATGCATAATGTATAATTAATATTAAAATAATTCTAATGCAAAAAAATGACAGAACAAGCAGACACTTCCCCTTCTGGGGAAAGCACAGAAGACAAACATGTGAGCAATGTTAGTCACAGTGTTTTACCACGCTGTAAAAAGATGCCAACATACAATGATTACAAGCCCAGCACGAGAGTAAAACAGGCAGCGTTTAACAGTAGTGGTAATATTTTTAATCCGCCTGCAACAGGGAGGGACTGTGTACACAATACAGTGCTTGTTGGGAAGCAGATTATGGGGTTTTTCCAGCACAAACTACTGCAAAAATTCACCCAGGCTCGTCTTGATGCTCACATGGAATGCACCAGTTTGAACCACTGTTTTGCCATAACCTGGCTGTTTCTGAAGGGGAGGCGTGGGGCTGTGAGAGCTGAGCACCGGCCAGGGCCCCCACGGCCCCTCCGGAGGCGGCTGCTCCAGGGGCTCCCTGGCCTCTTTCTCCTGGGCGGCTCCTCTCCAGCAGGACCACAGCAAAGGGCTTCATCCTTCCCAGCTGCTGGGGGCCAGGGTCAGAGCCAGGCGACTTTCTATGCTGAAGGATTGAAGTTCCTTTCTCCTGAAGTCAAAGTTGCCTGAATTGCCCTTTTTCCAGCTGAAAACAGGAGTCACTGTGGACTCCACACCTTTCTGGTAGTGGATGGTTTACCCGAATTCCCCTATTTAGAGATGCAGTGAGTCATTAGTGCCATTAAGGAGATCAGATGGTCAAGTATTAAGGCTGGGGGCATTTTTCAAAATTATTTAGTATTCACACTCAGAGCAGGAATGTGAGAGTGGTGGCTGCTAATAACCAAACTGGCTGTTAATGGAGCACTTTGTGACAGCCCAGTGCAGGTGCCTTTGTGCCAAGAAGACAAGGTTACACAGCCTCAGGGTAAGGACTGGATCTTTCCTGGACTCACTCTGCTCAGGAGCTGAGTTTCCCTCTTCTGTTTTTCTTGGAAATAATGGCACATTCTGGGATCCTTTTGGCTTTTCTGAGTATACTGATATCTTCAGCTGACTCCAGGCAATACACAGCCTCCTGAAATGAATCTAAAATACCTCCTAAATTAAGATGATAAATGAAGAGTGATATTCCTGCCAGCATCAGTGAGTGCACATTGTTTTCCCTGAAAAGTGGCTCACTGAGCAGACACACTGACCATCAGCAACATCACATTGGATCTATGACCACCTCAGCATCTACAACCACCTCCCAGGGTGGGACTGGCAGTCAGATTGAGGGAATTTCTTGTGGTATAGAGAAAAAAGGCATTTTTATTGTAATAACTTTTAGCCTTTTCTCAGATAATTCATCACTCGATTAGATGAAGCTAAATGTTGCATTGCAATCACTGAGTGCAGAGGAGGTCTTCTGGTTTCCCATGCTAGATATCAGATAGAAAGTTTCCTCCTGATATATTCAGCCAAACTCTGTCTTGGAAGGTGTTTCATCTTCCTTGCATAAAGTATCCAGTTTACCAGAGAGCAGATTCCCACACTGTGGACCTGTAGCCCTTAAATGGACAGAAAGTGCTGGCTGCTCTGGGAAGAAAAATACAAGTTTGCAGTACTGAGTGCTGGAGAAACATCAACAGTTTGGGGTCTGGAATCTCTGGGGCACAGCTTGCATGCGTGTGGCATTCTGCTGCCTTGTTTGCAATTTACCTTTGTCAATACCCTTCTCTAATATGAAAGTGCTAATGTCTGCACAAGTTCAAGAAGATACTGTTGAGTGCTGAATCTGATGCAAGTCTCCATCCTCCCCATAAATTTCTGCTAGCCCTATAGCTCAATGACTGTTAAGAAAAAGATGTTATAAGCACAGGTGTACACTCTGGAATTTTTCACCAAGAAGTCTGATCTACAGAATTAGAAATATCTCCAAAATATCCATGCAAACTGGAGACACAGGGTAACAGCGCTCAAGTTCATGCACTTTTAAGCCTAGAGCCTCTAGACCTTTCCTGAACTTACTAAGCAAGAGCAGAGTCTGGATAATAAAGTCTGGCTGAGAGAACTACTCAAAGTAACACTTTTTCCCTGTTCTTGCCAGAGTCATTGATTTCATTTTCATCCACTTTCATCCAGCACAACAGGGAAAAAGTACATGAGAGTGGAGCAATGATACCAGGAACCAAACTCTTTCTATGACATGTTTGCTTTGGAGATCAGGCTCTCCTCACCCCGATCTTACCTCCAGGGAATCATCAGCATTCACCATCCAGCAGTCTGTCCAGGTAGATGCTATCAAAAACCCAGTAGAGAAAAAAGCAAAAAAACAGCCCACATACTGGAGGAAAAATCTCATGCCAGCAGATGATCAGCACATCCAGGGGGGTGAGAAAAACAATGCCCGGCTTTTATTCTTAAAGCTGGGGTAGAGGCAGAGAGTCTGTGTCCCAGGTCACCACCACCCTCTTCTAGTGGCCATGAACAACAGAAACTTTTCACTCCTGCAGATGCTATCCGTTAGTGATGGCCACAGAGCAAAGCTCACCTGCAATGGGGACGGGAGGAGGGTGAAAGT